CTTCCTGGAAACCATTTCAGAGCCAGCTGGGCGAAGCTTTCATCCTTGAAACTAATCCCTATCACTCCACAACCATGTCCCACTCACTCAGCACACTCTTTAGCAAAACCCATTCAAAGGCTATCCCTAATTCAAACAATGTATTTCTTAATCACAAAGCTACTTCCCCTCAGAGCTAATTTGATGGCTTAACCTGTCTAGGCTGCATTTTTCTTCTCTGTTCCTTAAGAAAATCCTTACAGATAGGGCTCTTCCTGCCCTAGCTTTTACAGGGGAGGTAGGGAGACAAGAGGCAGAACTCAGAGCAGGGAAGGGCTCAGGGTTGAGCTAAAGTGACCATGGGCCAGCACGAACCCCTCCCTGGGCCTCAAGTTTCTTCCTCTGCAAGCAAGATGGGGCTGGGCTGCCAGGCGTCCTGCAGCTCCTCTCCTGCCTCAACCACTCTAGGTCTATGACTAAATCCATCCTTAGATCTGAAGATGGCCTACCTCTCCTGAAAGCAGATGGAACGACTAGAGAGCAATTGTTCTGGGACCCAGAAAGTCACACTTCATTGCCTGCTGGGGTACAAGGGCACAGGCTCAGTAATTGTAGCTAACCAGCTAACCAGACTGTTTTTGTTGTTGTTATGTGCCATGGAGTCGGATCTGACTCATAGCGACCCCTCCTTGGGTTTCTGAGGCAGTATCACTTTGGAAGTAGATTACCCTACCTTCCTTCCAAGGAGTGGTTGGTGGGTTTGAACCGCCAGCCTTTTGGTTAGCAGTCAAGTGCCTTTGGCACTACACTACCAGAGACTTTGTTGTTGTTGTTGTTATGTGCCGTCGAGTCGGCCCCGACTCATAGCGACCCCTCCTTGGGTTTCCGAGGCAGTATCACTACGGAAGTAGGATTGCCCAACCCTCCTTCCGAGGAGTGGCTGGTGGGTTTGAACCGCCAGCCGTCTGGTTAGCAGGCAAGTGTCTTAGCCACTATGCTACCAGAGACTGGGGAGGGCTAAATGGATGCCCTAAAATCAAACACACCCAAATCCACCAGCTTTCTCTCCCTGTCCAAGCTCTGGCCCAGTGTGCCGAGCCTCCCCCACTCCTTCTGTGCTTCCCAGTTGGGCAGGCTTCCAGCTATGGACAGAGGCAAGGTTGCCCGGGGCGCCACTGCCCACTGGAGGGAAGATGCCCCCACTGGGCAGGGAGGAGGAGCTCAAGTGTGGGCTAAGCAGAGTGCAGAGGCCATTGGCAAAGACAAAAGAGAAAAATTACCCCACTGACAGCCTTGGGGAGACTCCTCCATAAATCCTACAACTTCCTGAGGCTGACTCAAGATGCATAGGGGTTCTTGGTTTAAGGCATCAGTTAAACAAGCCTGGATTCAAATTCAGGCTCTGCTCCTGACAAACTATTTGGGCAAATTATTGAACCTCTCTGAGCCTCAGACTTCAGTTTATCTATAGAATTATCTATAGAATGGGGATAACAATAATTTCTTCCAGTAAGAGGTTATGAGCATTAAATGAGAAAATGCATATAAAACACATGGCATTGTGCCTAGCATACAATCACTAGGAGCTTAAAAAACAACAAAACAAAACACTCCCAGAATCCCAGCAAAGCACTGGTAAGAGCCATAAAGAGGAACCACAATGTTAGAGCTGGAAGCAGTCTCAAAGACCTCAAATCCAATCCCTTCCTTTGTTTAACAGATAAAGAAAAAGGCTCAGAGAGGTCAAATAACTTGTCCATGGTTGCACAGCTAGTTAGCAACAGAGTAGAGCTCCAAGTCAGGTCTGTCTGATTCCCAAACACCTGCCACCCCTTCACCCCACCCCAACCTATCTATCCTTAGACACCCTTTGTTGAGGTCTCCTTCCCACAGTGAGGGTTTAGGCAGGGAGTCCCTATTGGCATTCCTCATTGCATCCTGTCCCCCTGGAGTACGCATCAAATTGCCACAGGCCTAAGGAGGTGTTATGCAAGTGATATGCAAAATACATGTAAATGACTACAAGTTATTGATGAATCAACAATTTGAGCTTTTATTATATGTAGCTAGATCACACTACATGCTGGGAATCTCTTTTCTCCTTTGGCCTTCTGCCAAGTGGAAGGAAATAAAATTTGTGGTTGATTGACCAGTCCTCTGCCCAAATCATGCCTGGCTTGGTGCAGGCCCCAGATGACCTCTGTCATCCGGATGCCCAGTACAGGCCTCACGCTTGTCCAGTATTACTTCCTGGAGCCCAGGGTGCAGCTGCCTTGGACTGGCTTGTTTGGGCAGGAAGCAGGGTGCCTGAGCACCTCTGACTGAGAGGTATCCTCACAGATGTAGCCACCCCCTTACCCCAGTTGCTCAGAGGGGAGCAGAGCATGTTGTTCCTCCTGCGGGGGGGTGGGGGGAGAGGAGGGAAGGCGGCAATGTAGGCAGTGACAGGAACAGGCCAGAGTGGCCTGTCACCTCAGCCCAGCCTCTGTGACCCTTGCTTTGGGAACTAGGTCCCAGCAGCCTTTCTCTAACTTGGGAGAAAGGCTCCTCTCCATGGGGCAGGACCACCAGGCACTGCTAGTGTGAAGTTCTGAAGAAGCTGCATCTCAGCTAATGGGGACAGCTGTAGCCAGGGCTCTGAGGGAGATGGGGAGACAAGTCTTGTCTACAGCAAGAAGGTGAGAGGTTGGACAAATGGAAAGCCTTCCAGAGGCGCAATCATATGATCTCTGGAAACTTAATCCAGCTCCATTCAATCAATGTTTCTGCTATGTGCCAGACACTGTGCTGGGCATTCTGGAGAATACGTGGAAACAAACAGGAGGTGAGCACTGCCTGGTCACTCTCCTGGAGGCAATAATAGTCCACCAGGAGAAAGGAAGCATGATAAATAAAACTTAACAACACGTTGATGCTTCCCTGGAAGTGTTGTGTATGTGTGTGCATGTGTGTGTGCGTGTGTATGTGTTGTCTGTCTAAAAGCATGAGTGTGTGTTTGTGTAAGGGGTGCAGGGATATACAGGGCTTCCCTATCCAGCCCCACATTGAACCATACATTAACAGTAATAATAAAACTACAAACATGAACCTATTATTTATTGATTGCTTATTAAGCGTTTTATATACATGAGTTCATTACACTTTTCCAGTAACCCTAGAAAATGGAGCTACCCTTTCTATAGGTGAAGAAACTAAAGCTTAAGGAGGTTAGGTAAGTGACTCTCCCAAGGTCACACAGCTAGAAATTCATAGCAAGGACTTGAACCCAGGCCAGTATTAATAGCTCCTCCCTCAGAAGACCCCTCAGTTCCTTGAGGCAGGATCAAGGAGCAACAGGGGTTGCCTCCTCTTAAGGAATAAGCCTGTAGTTCCTACCAGCACAGCTCTCCCATCCCCATTGTGCAGGCAGGCACACCCTATAGGCCGTGACCTCTGTCATATCAGGACCAGGACTCTGGCTCACCATAGTACCCACTGAACAGACAGATTTTTCTCAAGCAGCCTTCCTGTACCTGCGCATCTGTGAGAGTTTCCTAATGTGGCAACACTTTGTTAAAATGGCTGGGCTCAGAGGCTCAGCCCACCCTAATAGGTTGAGACTAGCTTCATCTGCAACAGTGACCTGGGAATAATGGCAGTGGCCAGGCATATGCCATGTGCATGAGGGCTTCAGGGGCTGAACTGAGGAGATTCTGGGCTGCCTGCCCCACCCTTCCCTTCTCCCCTGAGCAGCAGCCTTAAGTCCACCTTCCCTGGGAGATCAGGAGGTTGTGAGGGAGGTAAGGGAGCTCAAGAACCGACATGGAGGTGCTGGTGGAATCAGGAACGCAGGCAGGCAGTAGAATTAAGACCCTGCTCCCAGCCAGCTTCAGGGGACCCTCGGGGTCTTGGTTTCTCCTTTACCAGCTCCTGTTCTACCTCATGGTGACAACAGAAAAATATTACATGAGAATGGGCTTTGAAAAGTTGCATGTGCACAAATGTAATGCAAAGGGGAGAATCGTGGGTGCCTAGGCCTGTCCGGGAAAGCAGCCAAGTGAGGCCAGAGGCCCTGTGTCCCAGATATGGCAGCTACGCCTGGCTTGGCAGGTACCAGAGATGGCCAGAACTCCCCAGTAGAAAGGGAGTCTACTGGTGACAAGAATTTAAAGAAAGGACAAGCATGCCGGACAAGAGTGACCTAGGAAGGCTAGTCCCTGGCAGTGCGCCCAGGCACTCACTGGCACTTGGTGGCCCAGGCACTGCCTGGTGATGAGATTATGGCCTGGCAGGCCCAGGCAGGGAGCCCCAATGTACACTAGACACACTGAGGATTGACAGCACCAGGCCACCAGCCCCGATGCTGCCTGGGAGCAATGCAAGTACCTCTGCTGTGACAGGCAAAGCCACACATGGTTTTGCAGAAGAAACAGGAACATTATGAGCAGGCACCAGCACTGCTCCCTCCTCCTGCCTACAACAGGGATCTCAAAAGTGGGAGTTGGGCAGAGGTAATAATACCACTTAGGTTCAGCAAGACAGCCCCCGAGAGTGGAGTTGGCTAGCACAGAGATACCCGAGAGCAAGAACACAAAAGACTGTCTTCAGGAAGCCTGAATGGGTCTAGTTGGGTAGCAACATTTCTGCTTCCCTGTGGACTGGTGGAGCTCAGCTCTTTCCAACCCAGCACTCACTGGGACCCTGTCTTGGTGGTCCTTCTAAACTCACCACCAATCAACCCAGGCCTGACAACAACCTCGGGTTTCTTGACATGTCAGGAGAATAGCAGCAGCACCCACTCTGGAGTCATAGGGTGTGCCAGATTCACAGTCACCTAGCCACCCAGACCTCTCCTGCTTCTCCAACTGCAGCTCAGCCTGGTCCTGCAGAGCAGAGGTCAGGAAGGTGGCATGGGGGCTGGGCACAATGCCCCTAGAACTTCTGGCCTACTGTGGTCTTATGATCTATCTTTCATCCTCTCTATATAGCCCTCAAGGCCACTAGTACGAGCGTGTGGGCACCTTCCACTGCCACGGACTCACCGGAGTGGGATCTTGACACGGAGGTAGCGGTCCACAGCAATTGCCAGCAGGGCCAGGATGGAGCTCTGGGTGAGGATGAGGACAGGACAGGCAACCATGAGGCAGGTGTGGAAGTAGGTCTGTGGCCCAATGTTGATGAGGATAGCGAGCGGGATGACCAGGGCGCCCACCGCCACATCAGCCACTGCCAGCGAAACGATGAAGCAGAAGGTGGCATCCCGCAGTGCCTGGTTCACTTTCACTGCCCAGATCACCAGTACATTCCCAGGCACGGAGACCAGGGCGATGAGTACCTCAATGCCAATGTACGCGGCCTGGAAGGCTGAGATGGAAGGCGCCATGGCGGGCACAGTCTGGGCACATCAGCAGGCAGGCACCATGAGGCGCGAGGCAGGTACCTGTGGTCATGGAAGCCTGGGGTGGGGAGGCCCGCTTGGGAGGGGGAGAAGAGCCCAGGCACCTCTGGGACTCCTACTGCCCTTTGGAGCTGGGCCCCACTTGGCATAGTCAGTGCCTACCCAAGCTAGAGGGGGTCCCTGGATCCTTTCCCTGCCTAATCTCTGTCTCCTCCCCTCAATCTCTCCAGTGGTTCCATTCAGCAACTTAAAATAGGAGAGCTCACTCCTCACTGACTTTTTTTAATTATTATTTTAAATCAGGTGTGAGGCAGCTCCCAGCATACACACACACACACACACACACACACACACCAGGGGTCCCCATGTCTGGCTCTGCCCACCCATGCCCACAGAACAGGATGCAGGGAGCTCACCATCCTGCCTGCTGTTCGGCAGGGGGTCTCAGAGGCGGTGCCCAAAGTTCCGGGCACCTGGAGCTTCCCAGAGCTCCCGGGCTGCGCTGGGCAGGGCTGGGCTCTGGGCACCTCTCGGCAGCTCATCGTCCTCCAGGCTCCCGCCGCAGCGCTCCCAGCCCAGCCTTTCAAGCAATCACATGGTGCAGCAGAGGCTCAGCCCAGGACGGTTTTAAAGAGGTAGGCGCCCCTGTTCAGCACCTGGGACTGAGGTGTCAGGCGTGGGTTTGGGGGACTGAGCCCAGGACAAGGCCAAGGCGCGGGCTCCCCAGATCCCATCGTGCGCGCACAATTGCTCTGCGCCCACCCACCTGAGACATTGCTGGTGCCTGGCTCGTCCCCCAGTCCCCATCCAGCTCTGCCAGGGACCCTTGCCTACTGCCTGCCCCAAGGGGGCATTCCAGTCGCTTCCTTCAACCCTCTCCCGCACCGTACAGGGGAGCTCCAGAGGGAAACCGAGACATAGACTTACCCAAGGTCACCACAGCTGGCAGAGCTCCTCACCACCTGAGCACTAATGCCCAAGTGCACCGCAGCTCGACGCCTTCAGAAGCCGCTTGCTCCAGGAGTACCGGGAAAATCCAAGACCCGCCTGTTAGGGGGATGGTAGCTGGCTAGGACTGTGCTCCGGGCGCTGGCGCCTCTGTCGCCCCCGGTGAGGGAGCTGAGTGACAATCGGGCTCCGCACACCGGGAGGGGGCGGGGGCGGCGGCGGCACCCGCGGGCCCCTCCCTCTTCGCCCTCCGTCTCCTCCCCCACCCCTCCTCTAAACAAAGGAAGTGATTCTGGGTGAGAAAAGCTGGAAAAATGTGAGCTCTCCAAAGGGTCTGGTGAATGAACCAGCCCGGAACTAGACTGAGGTGCAGCTTCCCGGTGTCCACTCCCTCCTTTTTGGATACGGGATGCTCGGGGCGCCTTGGACCGGATCCTGAGCCGTCTCCACTTCTCACAGCGGCGCAGCATCTTACCTACAGGGCTCCAGAAAGACTCCCTTGCTGATACCTTCCCAGTGCAGTCCTGTGCTCCCCCCACCCCCACCCCCGTTCAATCCAAGAATCCTGCATCTTCTCAAGAACTAGCATTCTTGGAGCGCATGTTACTTTGCAGCCTGTAGCCTGAGTCATAATACAATATTCCTTTCTCATCCTCTTTCAGAACTGTTTTTCAGTCTGTTAGCAATTTCCATTTTACAGAGGAGGACACTGAGGCTCAGAGAAGTACCTAGCTTCCCAAAATCTTCTGTGCCAATGACACCCCCTCTGTGCCCCTTTACTTTCCCCCTTTTCCCTTTTCATAGCAAAGCACTGAAGTCATAAATTATCTCATGCGGCCCCATGGTACAGATGAAGAAACAGGCTCAGGGAAGGGACTCCCACAGGGTCAAACAAATCATAGCAGAGCCGGGGTAAGAACCTCAGGAAGCACCAGCCAAAAACTCCTGACTCCCCACTCGGTGCTCTCCCCACTGTGCCCCATTGTCTCTTGGCTGCCACCAGGCTGCAGTTTTAGTCTAGGTGCCTCACAGGTACTGACCAGGAGCATCCTGGAGGCAGACCCATCCACGCTCAGAATAGTTGCCTTGCAGGGATCCCAACCTGAGATGTCCTTGCTCGTGGGTATTGATTGGGAAGGGGTCCTGGGAGGGCAAAGAGAGCTGGGCTGGGGGTCTGCCCTGGCCTCTGAGGCACTGCCAAGGGAGAGGCTCTGCCACAACCTGGGTAGCTGGGGTGGGGAGCAGGCTGAGTCTTCCTGAGGTGGAAGCCCAGCGGGGGCGAGAGAGGGAGAGGTAACTTCCATGTCTGCCTTCAGAGGAAGCAAGGAATCTGTGCCTCACACTGCAAAACTGCAGTTCTCCCCTAGAGCCAATGTGATTGAGAAACCAAGTGTGAACTCTCCTTCCCCTCTCTCTTCTCCACTTCCCCTGTGGACTTCTCACCTGACATCCCAGCATTGTGCCCACTCCTCATGTGAATGTGCCAGTCTTTGTGTCCATCCCCCTGCCTCTCAGCCCTTTCCTTAGTTCAAATCCTTCTTGGCTCAATGTTCCACATCCCTTGGCTTCTCATTGTTCTTCCTAATACGCATCCTGCCCCCAGTATCTCAAAATCACTGAGTGGTTAGAGCTTAGGGCAGGGGAGGTGTGATTGGGGTTACTCTATCTGACCCTTAACAGCATCTTCAGCTCTAGAGGTACCTGATCTCCCCGCCCTCCATATACACACTCCCACCCCTTACTCTTCTTACCCACCATGGGTTGTGGACATGTAATAGATACATTGCATAATACCTGTGGTAATTTGTTTATTCTTCAGTTCTGGGGAAAATAAGCTAAAACCCTCCTCCCATCTCCCCTGCCTCCATCTCTGCCTATTCTCAGGGGCAGACCTCCCCAGGGAGTAGTCCAGCCTGCATGAGAACAGAGCTGGCCAAGGCAGGGTCCTCCCAAGAAGCTGCTCTGAGAAAAAGTACAATCTCCTCAAAGTTCTCTGTCCAGGAGTATGGGTGCCGGATGCTCCTGGGCCGCATGGCCATCTGGTGTGGTGAAAAGAGCACTTGACTGTGAGTCCGAAGAGCTGGACGCTGACCTCTAGGCCCCACTCTACCACAAACTGGCTGTGTAGCCTCAGGCAAGTCACTTCTCCTCTTCTGGCCTCAGTTTACTCATCTATATACTTTGGCAAATTGATCTCTCTCATCCTATCTGCTTTCATAGTCATTAAGTCCATTCCAAGGTGGGAAAGACTCACTGAGGCAGACATCATGGGGGCTGGCCCTTTCTACCTAGAAAACTTCTAATCCAGGCTACCCAATCCAGGGACAGATATCAGGCCTGAGAGGAGCAGAGATTGCAGAATTGGGGGAGGACTTGAGGAAGACAAGTCAGAGGTTTATAGTGAGAAGACAGCAGTGTGGGAGGGTATAGGTAAAACAGGTAGGAAACTCTTATTTTACAGTATATTCAGGAACCCCTGACTAGATGGCCCTCTCTATACCAAGGTCTATATCCTCTGCAGACATGTGACCCTCCATGCTTTACCTGCCTTTTAATAGCCGAATCATTGTTCCATCATCTGTGTAAGAATACTACCTAACAGAATGGTGGGTTCTGAGGATTGAATGATGAGCTGACTCATGGAGAGCCACAGGATATTTTATCAAAAAGGCAAGCAGTTGGCATATGTTTTGCTGTGTGCATTCTCACCACAAGAAAAAAATAAATAAAAATAAATTTTAAATAAAGGCTAACAGACAGCATAAGGCAGATGGAAAGGGTAGAACCCAAATACCCAAACGCATTGCCGTAGATTTGAATTCCAACTCTTAGTGATACTATAGGACAGAGTAGAGTTTCCAAGGTTGTGAATCTTTATGGAAGCAAACTGCCACATCTTTCCTCCATGGAGCAGCTGGTGGGTTTGAACCACTGACCTTTCAGCTAACAGCCAAGCACTTAACCACTGTGCTACCAGGGCTCCTGGAAAGGGAACTGCACAATTATGGAACCTGTTCGGTCCAGCCAGTGAGGCTAATTTGGCACCAAATCCCACAGCCACCAAGTTTAGGCGCTCTTAAAGATACCCAATGAAAGGTTTTATTTTACATGTGACTCTGGGGACAAGTTAATGTCACAGTAAGTACAAATACCCCCAGGGCCTGCTCTTAACCCCAATATCCCCTTTCCCTCTTGGCTCTTTATTCTTTTCCTCCCAAAGCCCCTGCCCTAGGTTTCTCCACCTGCTTCCCACAATTGCAGTCTCTCTACTGCTGGCAGGGATGGATGGGGGTGGGGCGGGGGCAGGGAGGTTGTAGCAGAAGCACTCCAGAGGGTCACCCCTGCTGAGCAGCCCTGCCCCACCCTTTCTCCTTTCCTGGAGCACTCCAAATTGCAAGAAATCCTCTAGGTCAGAAAGGGGCTGTCCAAGGAGACGGTGCCCGTCCCCTGTGCACCACTCAGGACACCAGCTGGGAAGGGGAGTGTCAAAGCTTGGCCTGCTCCATGGAGCCCTGTGGGGATGGATAGGTTTTAGGATGCACCTCTGTCCCTTTCCAGCTTTAGCTACCCTATAGGACAGAGTAGAACTGCCCCATTCTGACTCACAGTCACCCTGCAGGACAGAGTAGAACTAACGGCCCCATCACATTTCCAAGACTGTAATCTTTATGGAAGCAGACTGCCACATCTTTTTCCTTTGGAGCAGCCAGTGGGTGTAAACCAGCCACATTTTGGTTAGCAGCTGAGCACATAACGACTGTGCCATCAGGGCTCCTTTCTCTAGCAGGCAGGAGGTTATTTTGGTCCCTGGTCCCTGTTAGCATTGTTCTGTATAGTATATGCATGAGGAGTAGGAGAGTTGGGCAAGGGCAAGCAGGTTCAGACGAACAAATTTCTGGGTGTCAGGGAAGCCCCTGGCTTTTCCCCCAGGTGTGCACCCCCAAGCCACATCTACTCCTGCAGTGTCATCTTCAGACTGTTTTCCAAATCTTTCCTTGAAGTCATTCTTTTCCTCCACTCTCCTCCTCCTCCTCAGATGGAGATCTAGGTCTCTCTCTCCTATTCTCTCTCCCTCCCTCCTTCCTTCTCCTTTCTCCCAGATCAGAGACTCTTATGGGAGAAATACTGGGTCTATGGGAAGAGCCAGAACCTCAACACAGGCTGAGTATTCTTGTGTGTGTGTGTGTGTGTGTGTGTGTGAGGGGAGGCAAGAAATAGTCAGGGTCATTTAGTATCATCCTAAATCCTGAATTAAGGGTGTAGCTTTCAATTTCCTTCGTAACCTCATCATCCATTTATTCATTCTATTCAGCAGTCACTGAGCCCCTTTTCTGTAGCAGACATTGAGCTGAGCCCTGGGGGTATAGAGATAAAAAGGCACAGTCTGCCCCCACAGTCTCCAGAAAGAGATCATAACCAAGTGGAGGAACATCAGCATGCTGTTGTTATTAGCTGCTCTCAAGTTAGTTCCAACTCGTGTCAACCCCATGTGTGCAGAGTCGAACTGTTACAGGGTTTTCAAGGCTCTGATCTTTCAGAAGCAGATCACCAGACCTGTCTTCTGAGGCACCTTGGAGTGAATTCAAACAGCCAAACTTTCAGCTCATAGCTGAGCACTTAAACAGTTGCACCACCCAGGGAATCCAAACATCAAGCATAAATGACCCCAATATACAGCTTTTCCTATGAGAACCAGGAGGTGCTTCCTACATCTAACCTCAGTCTTTCCTACCTCTACTGACATGGGTTTCCTCTTCCAGCAGGCTGAAAAAGAGCTAATTCCAGGGTTGGAAGGATCCTTTGTACCCTGCTAACCTGGAGGTTTGGATACTGTACAATGAGGACCCCTTAGGGTTCAGCAGAGGAGCCTCAGGCCCTGGGGCTTCTAAGGCTCGGAAGGAAAACCAAGTCTTGGGGGCCAGGAAACTGGCCCTACTTTAGCCAGAGCGGCTCTGTTTTGATTTATATGGATTCCTAGTACAAGATTTTATTAGTTCTATGGCTTTAAAAAAGGATCCCTGGTGGCAAACTAGATAAGGTATGTGGCTGCTAATCAAAAGGTCGGCAGTTCAAACCCACCAGCCACTCCACAGAAGGAAGATGGGGTAATCCACTTCCGTAAAGATTTACAGCCTCAGAAACCCAATGGAGGTTGCTATGAGTCTGACTCAACTCAATGGCAGTGAGTTTGATTT